CAGGGCAAGTGGACTAGGTCACTCATTTAAAAAAACTTTCATTGAGGTCTTCTAAATCAGTAGGCACTATGCTAAACACTAAGGGTGTAAGCAAGGACAGTCTTTGCCATCAAGGGCTGTCAAATAGTGGGAGAGACACAAACACAGTATCTCATGTGGCCAGAATAATAATAGTATGTACATATCAAGGAATTATGGCCATATTTTCTCAACCACAAATGGGGACACATGAATTGTGTTCTGTCACTGGGGCAGAATATTTTTAAAGAGATTGCTATGGGAGACTGACATGACCAGAGAGAGGTCAGGTGTGGATGTTATTCTACAAAATGAATAGACTCATTTTTGGGAACAAACCCATGTGACACCAGCTGATTTAGGGCCAAAAAGTTCAGGGATTTGTCATTGGGAGGATCTTGGTTGGGCTAATAGATATGAGCCTGAAAATTCTTCCCTAGTTCAACCACCATGATGGTACAAGGCAAGAGAATGTGAAGTTTATATATATAAAATAATTCTGGTTCCAATTACTGGAGGCTGGAGCAAGAGGATCACTCTAGCCCAGGTGGTCAAGGCTGCAGTGAGCTATGGTCACGACACTGCACTCCTGCCTGGATAAGACACAGTGAGACCCTGCCTCTAAAAATTAAAAATTAAAAAAGAAATCTGCATAAAGAAACAGTAACCAGTCTGGAGGGAGAAGGCTTCCTGAAGAAGCCAAAGGTAACTGGCCACGAGGTTTTTCTGTGCCAAGCCTTTCCCAGTCAGGCTGTGCAGATTCACCCTCTCTGCTCCCCTGTCACTCTCTGCCCAGTCCTGGGAACTAGAAAAAGATGAAGAGATGTCCTCCAAGTGGCTCCCACACAAGTTGCCCCAGCACTTAGCAGCAGTCTGACCTTATGCGGCCTGAGTGAGGCCCGATGCTGGCAGTGGCTCTGTTCACTCTCACCATCCAGCAAGGCAAAACGTAGAGAGACCAAGAGAGGGGAGTCCAACCCCAAAACGGAGACCCAGCGCCTGCGACAATAAGTGTATCCATGGAGTTAACAGGATGGAATACTTCAAAATCCAGGATACCCTGAAACTATGTACTTCTATTAGTCATCAATTAAAAATTGCTTAATTTAAAAAATTAAAATCCAGGATTGTTGTCCTGGCATGGATGGAATGAAGAAGGGCCAAGGAGAGTGGGAAGGTATAGGCAGCTTTGTCTGATTTTACCAGCGTTAAAACAAAAAATAATTAATTAACAACCTGCTCTTCTGTCTCCCAAACTAAATTTTCACCCTCTCCCTTTTCAGTCTGTCCAAATTTGAGATGAAGCCTTTCCCATGACTGCTCAGCAGAGGGCAGCAGAGGACACCTTATGAGCCTCCGCCCCCTGCACACAATAGCGCATTCGTTCAACAAACGCCTTCTGAGTTTGGAGTGGACAGTGTTCCAGGCACTGTGGACACTGCCCTAAATAAGACAGACAAGGTCTCTGCTGGTCCAGAGGGAGCGGAGAGAACAATAAGCAAAGTCATCGAGACTGTAGCGCCATAAAGTGATGGAGACAGGAGTGGAAAAGGGGCTTGCTGATTCCACATTTCAGCTTCCAGCCGGTATTTACTAGGGCTTGTTAGGGGACGGGCACTTCTGGGTAGGTCACCAACACAGAGGCCCCTGCCTTCATGGAACTTACGTTCCAGCGGGAGGAGAGCGCACCATAATCATAAAAAGCGTCGCCGATTTTTTTTTTTGAGGCAGTCTTGCTCTGTTTCCTAACTGCCACTGCAACCTCCACTTCCCGGGTTCAAGCGATTCTCTTGCCTCAGCCTCCTGAGAAGCTGGGATTACAGGCATGTGCCAACATGTCTGGCTAATTTATTTTTAGTAGAGACCGGGCTTCACCATGTTCACCAGGCTGGTCTCGAACTTCTGACCTCAGGTGATCCACCTGCCCTGGCCTCCCAAAGTGCTAGGATTATAGGTGTGAGCCACTGCTTCCGGCCTCAACAGAACCTTTTAAAGGACGTGGAGTGTTATGGAACAGGAAAACAGAGTAGGATTTGGGGAGTCCCAAATCCTGAGTCCCACCCCAGGCCCAGGTCGAGGACCTCCGATCTGGAGCAAGACTCCTGGGCAGCCCTGCCTCTCCCCGCTTATGCCTTCCTCTCCATTTTACCAGGAGAATAGCAATCCTTACACATGCTCACACCTCCCTAAGTAAAGACCATCCGGCTGGAGCTATTTGAACCCAAATGCCCCATTTCCCCAGCATCATACCCTGTCCCAGACCACATGACTCATCTCTCTTTTGGAAAGTATCTAGAAGCAAAGGGCTCTTCCTGCCCCTACACCCAGCAAACATCTGGATTGTTCTGTGTCATTGGTTAACTTGCAGGGACACAGTCAAGGTAGTAAGGAGGTTGTGCCTCCTGACCCAGGACAGCTCAGCCTCCCCACCGACCCACAGGGCACTGCGGGCCAAAAGGAGCAGAGACACTGTGGGGCCCACCCAAGCTTCTGAGATCTTCCCTGCATGGGACCTTTATTGCCTCCAACACACAAGACTCCAGGGAGCTAAGGGTGCGCTCTGAGGAGGAGGCTGAGCTCCCAGATGGGGCGTCCAACCCCACTTCTGGCCCAGCTGATGTTGACAAAAGACTTTAATTCCTTTATTTTGGGTCACAATTCCAGCAAGCTTAATTCTGGGGTTCACGTCTCATTTGCAAGCCTTTCCTTAGCCACCGTGGTGGCATGGGCAGGACACAGACTGGCAGTACCCACAACTGCTGTGACGTGGCGAGAAGCAAAGCCGGGTTGGCAGGGCTTCGTGGTTCTCCTTCTTCGTGGGCCCCAGGCCGCTTCTGGTGGCTCCGGCTGTGTACAGGAAACCATGGGGCACAGAGAGCAGGAAGCCAGGGGCCTCGTCAAGCCCCTGTGCTGACTCCCAGTGTGCGCTGGGATTCTCACTCAGCTGGCTGAGCCCTGCGGTGCTTTCCGTGAGGACTCTAGTGCCTGGGCGCTCCAGTTCCTGATGCTTCACAAGGACCCTGAGAAGAAAGCCAGGCAAGTGTTCTTATGCCCACTGTGTAGGGAGGAAACTGAGGCCCAGAGGGGCTGTTGATTCCTTTGGGGTGAGAGCATGCGTGGTGGAGCTGAACCTGACCTCAGAGCTACAGACTCAGTAGTCTTGAGCACTGGCACCTGCACACACAGGTCGTCCTGGTATCTAAAGGCACACATGACACCTCAGGACACTGTGGAACCCAGGGGAGGAAGGTTCTATTGGCCAAGTGGTCTCACTCCTTCCTGTGTGGAACACACTGTTAGGTGGCACAGTCCCAGGGCACTCGGAGGCCACCGTGATGTTTCCCGGGCTCAGATGTGATCACCGCGGCAGTGCACAGCCCATGGGACCCATCCAACCTGAGACCTTTAGCCAGGCCTGCAGCCAGTGGGGCCAGGTAGGATCTGTCTGGCTGCTGCTCTGGACCCCGGGCTTCCGTCTCTGCACGTGGGAGGCAGCACCAGAAAGTGCATGAAGAGATATGGAGGGGTGTGGAGGGGCATGGGGGTGTGGAGGAGTGTGGAGGGGTGTGGGGGGGTGTGGAGGGGCGTGGAGGGGTGTGGAGGGGTGTGGAGGGGCATGGGGGTGTGTGTAGGGGCATGGGGGGGTGTGGAGGGGCATGGGGGGTGTGGAAGGGCGTGGAGGGGTGTGGAGGAGCGTGGAGGGGTGTGGAGGGGCATGGGGTTGCGGAGGGGAGTCGGGGGTGCGGAGGGGTGTGGGGGTGTGTGGAGGGGCGAGGAGGGGCGTGGCGGGGCGTGGGGGTACAGAAGGGCATGGGGGTACAGAGGGGCGTGGGGGTGTGTGGAGGGGCGTAGGGGTGTGGAGGGGTGTGCAGGTGTGAAGGGGCATGGGGGGTGTGGAGGAGTGTGGAGGGGTGTGGAGGGGCGTGGGGGTGTGTGGAGGGGCGTGGGGGTGTGGAGGGGCATGGGGGGCGTGTGAGGAGCGTGGGGGGGTGTGGAGGGGCGTGGAGGGTGTGGAGGGGCGTGGGGGTGTGTGGAGGGGCGTGGGGGTGTGTGGAGGGGCGTGGGGGTGTGGAGGGGCGTGGGGGGTGTGGAGGGGCGTGGGGGGGTGTGAGGAGTGTGGAGGGGCGTGGAGGGGGTGGAAGGGCGTGGAGGGGGTGGAGGGGCGTGGAGGGGGTGGAGGGGCGTGGAGGGGGTGGAGGGGCGTGGGGGTGTGGAGGGGCGTGGGGGGCGTGGAGGGGCGTGGGGGGGCGTGGAGGAGCGGGAGGGGCGGGGAGGGGCGTGAGGTGCGTGGAGCTGATTAAGTTAGCTCCAGCCAGTCCTCTACCACTTCTACCCCACACCGGCCTCCGAGGTGGTGGGACGCTGGCTTTCCTGCGCTCTGAGAGGGGTTGTCTGCCCTTGCATGGGGCCAAGTCACTAGGAAGCCGCAAATCTTTTTAGTACGAAGGCACTAGACTTTCTAAAAGATTCGGCCAAGGAAGCTGTCTTCCGTGTCTCTTTTTCTTCCAAGCCGCCCTCCCCAGCCACAAGCCGCCGCAGGACCCAGTGGGGCTGAATGACAGGCGGTCCAGCCCAAAGTAAGGTGGGGAAGGGAACAGCAAAGGTCTAAGGGACGTGGGGAGGGGTGTGAGAGCCATATCTAGGGCCTGGGAGAGCTGGGAGGTGCAGAATAGATTTCAGGAGCCAGTCCTGGATCCCTCCTTTCTCTCGCCTCCCCACCCCTATCTCTGCAGGGCTGAAGAAGATCACTTGAACCCTAAGAAATCCCTCTCCTCTGAAATCTGTGTATGACACCAGCTGCCCCTCCTTTCGATGGGCCCAGCCTTGTTTTTGGTAATAAGGGACACTTGCCCCTAATGACTCACGCCTGCAACTCTCCTGGTTCAAGTAGGGGCTGAAAATTCGGTAGGTCTTTCAGAGAGGGATCCAGCCTACCCAGCAGGCCCAAAGCTGGCTGACTGCATCCGAGTCAGTCCAGCAGGCTTTGACTAGGTGTGCTGAGACTACCACAGTAGGGGAGTGGACATCAGGAAACAGGACCCGGCCGCGGCCACCTCACAGCCAGACCCTGAGCAGGATGTTAGCCGCCGCCAGCCCCTGCTCGGCTCTCACAACTAAGTCACGAGGTTCTTCCACCTTCGCACAGGCCTAGGTGCCAGGGAGATGGAGCAAGGAACAGACCCTGGGGTGGTTAGCCCAAGAGGACTTTGCAGGGAGGATGGTGCATCTTTCTTTCTGAATGTCTTTTTGGTGCAAGGGTAAACAGCATTCTTTCCAGAATGGTCCAGGTTAATCCTGCCAAGAAATAGCAGCCCAGATGGAGGGACCTCTCAGGGTTTCTCCATTATCTGAGGATTGGCTCCCACAGGAGGAGTCAGTTAGAAATAACGATTCTTTCCTTGCTCCTACAGACTTGACAGACATCGTGAGCTGCCTGCTGGAAGGAACCCCACGCAGCAGGCACTGCTTCCCGACGGGATCTGAAGGACCCTGAGCATCCTCTCTACCCAAAAGAGACGCTTTGCACCTGCTCCCACCTTGCATCCTCTGTGCTTTTACTCTCTCAGCCTCTCATTTAAAAGCATCCCCAAAGGTAACAGATGAACGTTCTTCCATTAACTGTTTAATGACAATTAGTTGCTTGCTATCATTCATTTTAATTCTGGTCATTCGAGGAAGAAGGAGCTTTAACTATTTCCTGAATGCCAGCACGCAGTGACCGGTAAGACCCAGGCAGAGGCAGGAACGACTGGCTAGAGTGTGCTGCGGTGAGAGTTCCAGGGAAGCTGAGCCAGCCAGGGAAGTGGAGGGAGGGAGAGAAAGGCTCTGGTAGGGAGCCAATGAATGCATGGGGTTGGCTGGGGGAGGGAGTAGCTGAATATGAGTCAAAGAAGTGGATTAAGCCCCAGTGCTGAAGGGCCTCAAGGGCAGGAAAATCCTTGTTTCTTCTGTTGGGCAAAAATTCAGGTCTCCAACTGTAAGGATAATATTGTTTTGTGTATGTATATGTGACCTCCTTTTTCTTTCTGTAAGAAGTCTAGATTTCATCAGATTTACAAAGGTTCCATCAACCTGCATCTGTTTAAGCTTAAGTGCTCTTGCACTGGACTTTGTTTTTTTTTTTTTTTTTTTTTGCTTGGTAAACTAAGGGATGTTTACTGTAAAAGCATTGACTTGTTAGTGATGCTTCAGGTTGGGCTGCAGGTGAGGTTTGGGGGTACACACTTGGAAGGCTACACTGACTACTTAGAGATGCTTTTGATGTCCCCATGAGACCGAGTTAAATTCCTGTCATTGTAGATGACTGTCAAGGAACATCCTTGCCTTCCCCGTTTTGCTCTTGGCAAAACCTGTCCTTGTTGTTGTTTTTTAACCACCAAAAGGTGCTTGGACGTGTCATTATAAGTTCTTGTTAGTATTCATGCTTTTCATAAAAGGATGAAATTCACCTTCACACGTCTTCCTTCCAACCTCCCTCCCTCCACAAGAGGGCACTGACTTCTGCCCTCTGAGTCCAGGACAGGTGAGCACTGTGTGCAGCAGCTGAGTTTTACTTTTTTTTTCTTTTTTCCTTTCTTTTTTTTTTTTTTCTTTTTTTGAGATGGAGTTTTGCTTTTGTTACCCAGGCTGGAGTGCAATGGCGTGATCTCGGCTCACTGCAACCTCCGCCTCCTGGATTCAAGCAATTCTCCTGCCTCAGCCTCCCAAGAAGTTGGGACTACCGGCATGCGCCACCATGCCCAGCTAATTTTTTTGTATTTTTAGCAGAGACAGGTTTTCACCATGTTAACCAGTATGGTCTCGATCTCTTGACCTCGTGATCCACCCACCTCGGCCTCCCAAAGTGCTGGGATTATAGGCCTGAGCCACCAAGCCCGGCCTGAGTTTTACTTTCAAAGCTTGATATAGTTTGGATATTTATCACCTCCAAATCTCATGTTGAACTGTGATCACCAATGCTGGATGTGGGGGTCTGATGAGAGGAGCTTGGATCATGGGGTGGATCCCTTAGGAATGTCTTGAGGCTATCCCCGCGGTAATAAATGAGTTCTTATTCTGTTAGTGACCTTGAGATTTGCTTGTTTAAAAAGAACCTGGGGTCAGGTGCGATGGCTCACACCTGTAATTCTAGCACTTTGAGAAACTGAGATGGGTGGATCACTTAAGGTCAGGAGTTTGAGATCAGCCTGGCCAACATGTGAAATCCTGTCTCCACTAAAAATAGAAAAATTAGCTGGGTGTGGTGGCAGGAGCCTGTGATCCCAGTTACTTGGGAGGTTGAGGCACAAGAATCACTTGAACCTGGGAGGCAGAGGTCGAAGTGAGCCAAGATCTCACCAATCAATGCACTCCAGCCTGGGTGATGACCGACACTCTGTTAAAAAAAAAAAAAAAAAAAAAAGGAGCCTGGGCCAGACTTGGTGCCTCATGCCTGTAACCTCAGCATCACTTTGGGAGACCGAGGTAGGTGGATCACTTGAGGTCATGAGTTCAAAGCCAGCCTGGCCAACATGGTAAAACCCCATCTCTACTAAAAATACAAAAATTAGCTGGGTGTGGTGGTGGGCTCCTGTGATCCCAGCTACTGGGGAGGCCAAGGCCTGAGAGTCACTTGAACCTGGGAGGCAGAGGTAGCACGGAGCCAAGATTGTGCCACTGCATCCCAGCTTGGGTGACAGAGTGAGACTCCATCTCAAAAAATAAGCAAATAAAAAGAGCCTAGCATGTCCTCCTCTCTCTCTCTCACTCCCTCTTTCTCCCCATGACAGCTCCCCTTCCCCTCCCACCATGATTGGAAGCTTTCTGAGGCCCTATGCAGAAGGAGATGTGGCACCATGCTTCTCTCTACAGCCCGCAGAACTGTGAGCCAAATAAACCTCTTTTTTAAATTGCATTTTAGGTTTGGGGTACATGTGAAGAACATGCAAGATAGTTGCATAGATACACTTGTGGCAGTGTGATTTGCTGCCTTCCTCCCCTTTACCTATATCTGGCATTTCTCCCCCTGCTATCTCTCCCCAACTCCCCACCACCCACTGTCCCTCCCCTATTCCCCCCCCAACAGACCCCAGTGTGCAGTGCTCCCCTCCCTGTGTCCATGTGTTCTCATTGTTCAACACCCACCTATGAGTGAGAACATGTGGTATTTCATTTTCTGTTCTTGTGTCAGTTTGCTGAGAATGATGGTCTCCAGGTTCATCCATGTCCCTACAAAGGACATGAACTCTTCGTTTTTGATGGCTGCATAATATTCCATGGTGTATATGTGCCACAGTTTCCCAATCCAGTCTATCATCGATGGGCATTTGGGTTGATTCCAGGTCTTTGTTATTGTAAACAGTGCTGCAATGAACATTCATGTGCATGTGTCCTTATAGTAGAATGATTTATAGTCCTTTGGATATATAGCCAGTAATGGGATTGCTGGGTCAAAGGGAATTTCTATTTCTAGGTCCTTGTGGAATCGCCACACTGTCTTCCACAATGGTTGTACTAATTTACACTCCCACCAGCAGTGTAAAAGTCTTCCTATTTCTCCACATCCTCTCCAGCATCTGTTGTCTCCAGATTTTTTAATGATCACCATTCTAACTGGCGTGAGATGGTATCTCAATGTGGTTTTGATTTGCATCTCTCTAATGACCAGTGATGATGAGCATTTTTTCATATGTTTCTTGGCCTCATGTATGTGTTCTTTTGTAAAGTGTTCATATCCTTTGCCCACTTTTGAATGGGCTTGTTTTTTTCTTGTAAATCTGTTTTAATTCTTTGTAGATTCTAGATATCAGCCCTTTTTCAGGTGGGTAAACTGCAAAAAGTTTTTCCCATTCTGTTGGATGTCGATTCACTCTAATGACTGTTTCTTTTGCCGTGCAGAAGCTGTGGAATTTGATTAGGTCCCATTTGTTTATTTTGGCTTTTGTTGCCAATGCTTTTGGTGTTTTGGTCATTTGCCTACTCCTATGTCCTGAATGGTTTTGCCTAGATTTTCCTCTAGGGTTTTTATGGTGTTAGGTCTTATGTTTAAGTCTTTAATCCATCTGGAGTTAATTTTAGTGTGAGGTGTCAGGAAGGGATCCAGTTTCTGCTTTCTGCACATAGCTAGCCAGTTTTCCCAACAACATTTATTAAACAGGGAATCCTTTCCCCATTGCTTTTGTCGGGTTTATCAAAGATTAGATGGTTGTAGATATGTTGTGTTGGCTCCGAGGCCTCTGTTCTGTTCCATTGGTCTATATCTCTGTTTTGGTACCAGTACCATACTATTTTGATTACTGTAGCCTTGTAGTACCAGTTTGAAGTCTGGTAGTGTGATGCCTCCGGCTGTGTTCTTTTTGCTTAGAATTGACTTGGCTATGCGGGCTCTCTTTTGGTTCCATATGAAGTTTAAGGTGGTTTTTTCCAGTTCTGTGAAGAAGGTCATTGGTAGCTTGATGGGGATAGCGTTGAATCTGTAAATTACTTTGGGCAGTATGGCCATTTTCACAATATTGATTCTTCCTAACCATGAACATGGAATGTTTCTCCATCTGTTTGTGTCCTCTCTTATTTCATTGAGCAGTGGTTTGTAGTTCTTGAAGAGGTCCTTTACATTCCTTGTTAGTTGTATTCCTAGGTATTTTATTCTCTTGGTAGCAATTGTGATTGGCAGTTTGTTCTTGATTTGGCTCTCTTTAAGTCTGTTATTGGTGTATAGGAATGCTTGTGATTTTTTGCACATTGATTTTTGTATCCTGAGATTTTGCTGAAGTTGTTTATCAATTTCAGGAGATTTTGATCTGAGACAATGGGGTCTTGTAGATATACTATCATGTCATCTGCAAATAGAGACAATTTGGCTTCCTCCTTTCCTATTTGAATACCCTTTCTTTTCTTGCCTGATTGCTCTGGCTAGAACTTCCAGTACTATATTGAATAGGAGTGATGAGAGAGGGCATCCTTGTCTAGTGCCAGATTTCAAAGGGAATGCTTCCAGTTTTTGCCCATTCAGTATGATATTGGCTGTTAGTTTGTCATAGATAGCTTTTATTATTTTGAGATATGTTCCATCAATACCGAGTTTGTTGAGGGTTTTTAGCATAAAGGGCTGTTGAATTTTGTCAAAGGCCTTCTCTGCATCAATTGAGATAATCACATGGTTTTTGTCTTTGGTTCTGTTTGTGTGGTGAATTACATTTATAGACTCATGTATGTTGAACCAGCCTTGCATCCCAGGGATGAATACTACTTGATCATGGTGGATAAGCTTTTTGATGTGCTGTTGCAATCGGCTTGCCAGTATTTTATTGAAGATTTTTGCATCTATGTTCATCATGGATATTGGCCTGAAGTTTTCTTTTCTTGTTGGGTCTCTGCTGGGTTTTGGTATCAGGATGATGTTGGTCTCATAAAATGATTTGGGAAGGATTCCCTCTTTTTGGATTATTTGGAATAGTTTCAGAAGGAATGGTAACAGTACCTCTTTGTGTGTCTGGTAGAATTCGGCTGTGAATCCATCTGGACCTGGGATTTTTTTGTGTGCTAGGCTCTTAATTGCTGCCTCAACTTCAGATCTTGTTATTGGTCTATTCAGGGTTTTGACTTCTTCCTGGT